TGGCGAGCTGGCGAGCTTCATCTTTCAAAATTAATGTAAAGACAGTAAATAATGTCATTAGTTTTACCATCAGTTCAAGGGGAACAGAGCACAGTAATGTCTCTCTCTCTCTCACACTCACACTCACACTCACACTCACACTCACACTCACACTCACACACACACACACACACACACACAATGCGCAAAACTCTGCATTTGAATAGTCAATAGCAAATACTTAAACTAATAACAAAACAGTAGCTGATTCAGAAGCGCCAGATTGTCATAGCAAAGTCAGAATGACCTCCTCTCCTAGGTTCATGAAACGGTCGTCCATAAAATGCATTGCTGTTCTGTTGTAAGTAATCTTAAAGATTCCTAAATGCATCTACTTCTGGAAGGCCAAATAAAGTGCTTTTGCTTTCGCCTAGAAACACACAGCGTCTCCCTGACATGGCTGCTTCAACACTAACTGCGGTTACTGAAACCACGCCTTCTTTCTTTGCGTGCACATTTGGGCGGCATTATGCAAATATTTCCACATAGTGATGTAGATATGTGGGGGCATCATATAACCCCTTTAAAGAAAATTTCGAGTTTCCCACTTGTAATAACAACTTTGTGGTGGCGTTCATGTGCGTTCAACTCGTAAATACGATCTATCCGACATGACTTGAATGCACCATAAGTGTCAGAATATATAAACCTTCCATATTTTGCACGATTTTCAATTATGTCCGTTTGATTCTCCACACTTTGAATGACTGAGGCAACGAGGAGCCAGAATAGATGGTTTAGTAAGTACATGTTCTGTGACTGCGATATTATCCATATCACGCTGACAGCCTCAGGTGAGACCAATACTGAAACAACATTAAAAGGAATATATAGTTCACCCAAAAAATGAAAACTGTCTTAATTTACTCACCCTCATGTCATTCCAAACCTGTGTGAGTTTCTCTGTTGAACACAACAGAATATATTTTGAAGACCCAAACAGGTCCCCATTGACTTCCATAGCAGGGAAAGAAATAGGCTACTATGGAGGTCAATGGGGATTACCAGCATTCTTCAAAATATCTTCTTTTATATTCAACATAAGAAAGAATCACACACACAACATTAGGGTGAGTAAATGATGACAACATTTTCATTTTTGGGTGAACTATCCCTTTAAACTAACTCAAACCAACCACATTTTGGCTTCTACAAGTCTGCTTATAAGCCTGAATTCAACTTGTTTCAAAATCAATGAACTTTACACTGTTATTGAACTAAATAATGACACTATTGTCTTTTTTTTTCTTTTAGAGCTGCCTTGTTATGACCCCTTATATATGTTTGGCAGTAGCAATGGAACAATAAGCCCACATCTGAGCACATAATCTGTTTGTTTCAGGTGAGTCGTGCTCCTGTAGGAGGTATTCCCTGCTCATCTATACCATCACAGTAGGAGTGAGTCTGCTGCTACTCTCGGCCATCGCTCTATTTGTGACACATTATGTAAGGTTCCCCAACACCACAGCTGAACACTTCATTTACCATATAAACAATACAGTGTCATTCCTAATGTGAAAATACTCTTCCTCAGAAAAAGCCATATGCTGAGTCAGAGCGTCAAACCACAGCTCCAATTTATGAAGACATGTCAAGTGTGAAAGGAAAAGGAAGCAGTGCAAACAGTCATTGGATTCGTCCACCAGCCCCAGAAACATCTGCTATGCTGAAGAACCTCTACAGATCCCCCAAACAGACAAATGTGGAACAGCATCAGGAAAAAGAATCATAAAAATCAGCTTAGTTGTGAAATGTTATTGAAATATATCCATTTCCAGGAACATGCTAAAATCTATAACGTACACAAATATATATATATATATATAAAATGAACTGTGTTCAGTACAGGTGTCGCAATTCCTCGTTTTTCACCATATTTAATTTACCATTTGGTCTGTCTTTCTTTTTCCTTTTTTTTTTGGGATAAATTACAAATATATTTTAAAAAGAACAAGTATTCTGTTGCCTCATTTAATAAATGCCATAATAACTAACATAATTGCTATATTTGTAACTAGCAATAAATAGTTGTTCTTATTTACTCACCCTCATGTCATTCCAAACCTGTGTGAGTTTCTCTGTTGAACACAACAGAAGATATTTTGAAGACCCAAACAGGTCCCCATTGACTTCCATAGCAGGGAAAGAAATAGGCTACTATGGAGGTCAATGGGGATTACCAGCATTCTTCAAAATATCTTCTTTTATATTCAACATAAGAAAGAATCACACACACAACATTAGGGTGAGTAAATGATGACAACATTTTCATTTTTGGGTGAACTATCCCTTTAAACTAACTCAAACCAACCACATTTTGGCTTCTACAAGTCTGCTTATAAGCCTGAATTCAACTTGTTTCAAAATCAATGAACTTTACACTGTTATTGAACTAAATAATGACACTATTGTCTTTTTTTTTCTTTTAGAGCTGCCTTGTTATGACCCCTTATATATGTTTGGCAGTAGCAATGGAACAATAAGCCCACATCTGAGCACATAATCTGTTTGTTTCAGGTGAGTCGTGCTCCTGTAGGAGGTATTCCCTGCTCATCTATACCATCACAGTAGGAGTGAGTCTGCTGCTACTCTCGGCCATCGCTCTATTTGTGACACATTATGTAAGGTTCCCCAACACCACAGCTGAACACTTCATTTACCATATAAACAATACAGTGTCATTCCTAATGTGAAAATACTCTTCCTCAGAAAAAGCCATATGCTGAGTCAGAGCGTCAAACCACAGCTCCAATTTATGAAGACATGTCAAGTGTGAAAGGAAAAGGAAGCAGTGCAAACAGTCATTGGATTCGTCCACCAGCCCCAGAAACATCTGCTATGCTGAAGAACCTCTACAGATCCCCCAAACAGACAAATGTGGAACAGCATCAGGAAAAAGAATCATAAAAATCAGCTTAGTTGTGAAATGTTATTGAAATATATCCATTTCCAGGAACATGCTAAAATCTATAACGTACACAAATATATATATATATAAAATGAACTGTGTTCAGTACAGGTGTCGCAATTCCTCGTTTTTCACCATATTTAATTTACCATTTGGTCTGTCTTTCTTTTTCCTTTTTTTTTTGGGATAAATTACAAATATATTTTAAAAAGAACAAGTATTCTGTTGCCTCATTTAATAAATGCCATAATAACTAACATAATTGCTATATTTGTAACTAGCAATAAATAGTTGTTCTTCCTTAAAACTGCATTTTCCAATCCTTCTTTAACCCACTTGTTTTAGAAGAGTAATTTTAGATAAAGCAGGGTGAATACAGGCTGGTTACGTTCTGATAATTTGTCATGGGCATTTTTTTTATGTGATCCGAATTGCTACATATCATGCACACTATTTTTCATTCTATTAAAAAAAAAAACTAAAACATAACACTGCAGGTTACTGATGTCTACTACTAAGAAATGACCAAACCAAATTCATTACAGCCAAGAACAAAAATGCAATTTATTAATTGTTTGAAAGAAGCTCCATAGTTCAAAAAATTTTTTCGGTGCATGTCAACAATCACATTCTATGAGGAGAGAAAACGAGAGAGAAAACAAAAACATTAAAAGCCACTGACTTCTTAAAATCTCAGTACAGACATATTCCTTAACATTTAAAATCAAAAGGCAAAAGCAACCCAGTATCTCCATCCACACCCATCCCAGTAACACACACTCAGTCGCACACACACACACACGCGCGCAGAACACAGGCAACCTTGAAAGTCATGGGCTACAAACCCCCCCCCCCACCACAGTGCTTCAGAATGAGACGTTCATTGGTTTAGGAATACACAGCATGGTGATGTACTTACTGTATGTAAGAAACATGAAAAATGGGAAATAAGATGGGGTCGGTGGGGAAGGGAGACAACAGAGTAAATGAGCACAATAAAAATAATCCCTCTAATCCCAATGAGAGATGGGTCACAGAGGCTTTAAGAAGCCCACCCCCTTGTGCATAGATCATGATCCGTATAAACCAGCTTTTTTTCTCTTTAAATCGATCAATTTGATACAGAACCCCTGCCCCCCAACCCCTCTTTTTAATTTCTCATTATATAATACCCGCCACAAGAGACAGAATGACAAAGAGGAAAGAAATAGTAATGCACAATGGTCCTGATTTCAACAGGAAGGGACCTCATGTTAAGAAAATACAATAAAGATTCAAACATACAGCATTTGTATGTTCTTTCACCGTCTTTTGAACAATCAAAATCATTCATCATTTTGTTTAAAATGTAAAGCAATTTCAATATATAGATTCATATATATAAAGCACTCCATTTTTTAAAGTTCATTAAGAGTTCATTATTTGGTAAATATGTAACTGCTACGGATTTAGAAACAAAGGTATTTTCTTCTTCTGAAATCCATAACCTTCAGTGCTTATGTTTTTTTTTTTCTGTTATCCTCTTTCTCTAAAAACAAACATTAAATGGCGTGGAGTTGGTACTCTGGAACCCTTGCCTTCCTGAGACATTATCCACTTTTTTTGTGTGCAAGATAGTGAACATTTATGTCTTTTCTCTTTTTTTTTCAACAAAGGAAATGTTTTTTTGCATTGAAAAAAAAAACACAGGCTTTGATAATCTATGAAAGTAACATAGCCAACATAAATAAAAAATTAAAATAAAAACATGACAACACTGATCAATCCCAGAGTTCTGCAAGTAGCACAATAATCTTCATTCCGTAAAGTGTTTTTGCTATTCATTTGATGGAAGTATATGTCCTTTAGGATTTTTCTCTTCTCATGACAATGAGACCTCGCAAAATTTATTTTCCTTGAACTTCCGAAAAACATGAAATGCTTGTAAACTGTTGGTGGCCTTGCACAAAGAAGATCTAGAACAGGTACGAACATTAATGACCAAAAAAAAAAAAAAAAAAAAACGAAAGATAGGCACCTCTGAAATGAGTCTTGTAAGAAACTCTTCTCCAGATGTCTATCCAGCTCATCATGGTGTAACATGGGGAGTTACAAGTCCCTCTACATCAATCTATGGCCACAGTTCTACGAAAAAAAAAAAAAAAATCCCTACATTTTATATATACTTTTTTTTGTTAGTATTTTGCATTTTTTTCTGTTTATGATCTGAAAAACAAAATGGTGCAATACTCAAAATAATCAATTTCTTTATCATGGATTATTCCACAATAAAAGCCACTATAAGGTAGATAATCGTATTATAGATAAAAAAAAAAAAAAACACGTTATTTTTCTCAAGTCCTCGAGTAAACATTAACACATGAATTGTCACCTTGTCCCCTTAGTACTTTAATATCATGTACGATTAGCTGAATGAGGGGAAGCAGACACTCAGTGCAACTCTAATAACAAAGCTAATAACAAATACGATAACAATACACATACGAATATATTTTTGAATAGCCAACAAAAAAACTCTAAGATGCTTAAAATGAAACGAAGGCGCAAACAAACCCACTGTAATCACTAGCATACATTGGTTTGAACCCACTCACACAGGCAAATGAACACATTCATCCATCATACAGTACACACGCAATCTTGTGCAAACACTCACATACAACCGATGTCACTTTGCAGGTTTTTTTTTTTTTTTTTTTTTTTTTTTTTTTTTTTAACCAAGGTTTTTTGTTTGTTTGTTTTTTTCAGTTTGAACTGATGTTATCAAAAAGCTTGGAAGTGTATGAATGACCAAAAAAAAAATAATTCACATTACATTATTGGCGCTTCTTATTCAAGTATTTGTGTTTTTTAATTTGTATAATTTTGATATGTTTATGCTTTTTATCATCTAGGTAAATTCATGGAGAGAAGGGAACAGGGGGTTACTCGGGCCTGAAAAGCAAAGTAAAGGTAAATAAACACAAAAGATAACCAGTTATATGCATGCACAGGATTTCAGATGTACATGTATATCAACCAGCATGTGCATATTCTAGCCAGGACCCAAAGAAAGAGGATTTGTGTTTCTTAGAGCTCATCTCCACCCAGGCCCTGTTATTTTGTACGATTGAAGCAGCCTTTTTATCTAAACAAAGTTGCATCTGAGCCGTGGAGCTGGGGTACATTAGTCCAATCAATAAGACCCAGTATATGCCCACAGTGGAGGACACAGTGGGCACTTGTTGGCTAGCTCGCTAGTCTGCCAGGCAATCCTCTGGATTTTAAACACGTTTTGGACGTTTGTTTTTCGTGGTCTCGAGTACAGCTTAGAGAAAGGCAGTTAAATATATATATATATATATATATATATCTTCAAAAACAGGCAATAGTGATTGTTGCTAGTGTGACTCGAGTGTGGAAAAACAAATCTTCCAGAAAGAGATTTTCCCCTTTTAAGACTTGGTATCAACTGGCATGTGCCCCAGGCCTCCTGATACAATAAGTCCACATGGACCTGGACCGGTTTAAAAAAAAAAAAATTATAATAATAATCTGCACCGTTTCCCTACTATCGGGTCAGGACAGAATTTAATACCATCAATACAGCAACCCCAGAGTCATCTGTCCGCCAATTCAGGGCGTCAAAGGCTTGCAGAGAGAAGCACTTCAGTCAAGAGTGTACAGAATTAAAGTTTCCTTTTTCAACAATACTAATAATAATAATCAGACAAAAACCTTTTTTGGTTTAAAAAAAGAAAAGGAAAAGACGTACCCAAATGTGAACCATCTACAGTGCATCTAAACATTCTGGATTCCCTGTTTAATTGTCAGCAGTCCTCCCAGAAGTATATATTTGATACCCGGGACAAGGTGCTACCCGTCTGTCTGGGTGCCAACCTGCATTCTACCTCTCCACTCCATGTGCTCTTTACAAAACCAAACATCAAAACAAATTTCAAGAAAGAAGAAGTTCCACTCTGATAGATTCATGTCTAGGTTAGGTCTACGATCAAGAATAGGTACATTAGGATCTAGAAAAACAAAACAAAAAAACAGTGGGACTTCCTGCGAATCCTTCTCAGAGTCCACTCGCCCACCCATTTAGCCTCTTTAAAGCCACATCGGATAATGCAATAGCGTCCTCCACGTAACGATAAAACAGTTTGGGGTTCTCTGAGGCTGCCCTGAGACTGCATGTACATAATGTAAGAGATCATTCAGAGAGTAAACAGTGAGGGCCTGGGCCATTGGGCCGGTTTCTTACTTTAGGCCACACCGTAAGGAAGCTGCCTTCTCACAATCACCTGGTGAGCTGAAGAGTGGGCTTGGAGAGAACTACAGATTGAAGGCCGTAAACTGCACCTCTCGGTCGGTCTTTGCATAGAAGTGGAGAGCCGAGTCTCCGTTATCATTTGCTTTTATTACTGTGAGAAGAGGCGACCAGGTAAAGTAGTGTACTCTGCCTGCCCTTTGTCGTAAGCACCAGTGTGAGTGTGTGGCCTGGCGGGACTGCGACACTGGAGCGGAGGAACGTGCAGAGGAGAGGCAGAACACAAACTGAGCACCATCGACCTACTCTTCGTTTCGCCACTACGTGCACTCCGTCCTCAAAACAACCCATTTCCGTCACTACGAGTGATTCTGGATCAATCTACGCTGTTTACACTGAGGTGTGCCTCTTAATCAGAGTGTTTCTGCATATGCGCAGCAAGAGGGGCTGGTGAGAGCAGCTACCATAGAGACCACACACACATAAACCGAAAAAGCGCAAAATAACTATTTAACATTAATAACAGCAACGACGATAACAACAGCAATGTTGACCAAAAAAAACAACACTGGCAATTCCAGAAGGGAAAAACCCAATCGATCGTAAAAAGTACATAAAAACGAACCTGTCCACTTCCAGCTAAAGTGATCTTTGCATGAGAGGGAGAAAGAGTGAAGTTGAGACGAGGTCGAGTGCTGGCGCAGTAGTAGTACGTACTGATTGGCCAGGTCTGAAGGAGCCACTGCTCCGGCCCCAGGCGGGTCCGTTCTGGCATCTGGTGCGCCGGCCTGGCACAGCGGGTTAAAAGTCAGAGTGTGGGCACCTGAGGCGCCACAGCAGATAGGCACTCAATGGCCACACTTATCATACAGGTAGGCGGGGCCACCAGGGCAAAGGGCCCCGCAGAATCCATTAGAAACATTACAACACGTCTAGCATCTCCAGACAAAAGGCTAATGATTTTGGAGTACTGTAACAGTGATATTTACTTTGATATATATCATCTTAAAGAAAAAACAAACAAAAAAAAAACACAGGAAAGCTTCAGTCTTGTTGTGGTGTTTTTTTTTCATATCAGACATCCCTTCAATTTGCTACTACTTTCGAAATGTCTGACTTCAAAGTCGAAAGACTGTGGAAAGACTAAGACTAAGAAGAAAAGAAACTGCAAAATCCGTTTAGAGTATGGAGGAGAAGTTCGGTAGATTGCTTTTCATCGTTGCTTTTTGTCAGTTTCACATGTCCATGTGTAATTTGTTGGCATTGAAGTCAGAGCTTGACGCTCTTGCTAAGTGCTATGAAGAAACCACGCCTTCTTTGTTCCATACTTTTGTACCAAATACAACAACGAAAAAAATGCACTTTGTCTACTGGGTTACAAGAAACACCTCTTATTTGGTTTGAAGCCCCTGTTGCCCCTGCAGTTACACGTGTCCTTGAGTGTGTAGAGGAAGTGCTTGTGAATGTTTCATCACCATGGGCTTACACACTGAGAGAGTCCTCTTCTGTTCAGTCCCACGCTTGGTGGACACGGCAGGAGACGAGTCTTTGATTCCCCCCCCTGTCCCCAGGCGAGCTCCTGCCGTTTCACCAGCAAAAAAGCACTGCGTAAAGATGGACAGAAGAATCTGTGGCATATATTGCACTTCAGACGAACAACAATGAGGGCTTATGTTTTTTTTTTGTTTTTTTTGAAAGAGAGACCAAGGTCGTTTAGAAAAAGTAGTCCATCTGAAAAAGTGTTTCCTGTACAGTTTTTCATGAGCAGTGGTTAATATATTCCTCAGCTGTCCACGTGTCCTCTCAGCTTAAGAATAAATGCTTCAAATGTGCAGAGGGGTCAGATACCTGTCCGTCCTTTCGAGAGTTATGAGGACAGGTGGCAAACGAAGGAAACAGGAAGGACGAATGCACGTACGCTGCGGCTGAGATCGAAACCATGACAGTCCTGGCTCAGAAATGAGAAAATGTGCAATTCTCAAGATGAGTTTCTTCAGAGTACAAATGGAGTGGGACTGATCAGCAGTTAAGGCTAAAGTTTAGTGCTGTTAATTAATCCAAACGATCCAAAGGACAACTGAAAAAAGCCATGGATCCAGTCTAAAAGACAGGGAGTAGGGGAAGTCGGTTTGGAATGACGCACGTTTCTTCAGGGGGAAGAGGAAGATATGCTGTGATTGGGCTGACAGGATGTGCTCGTGCCAGAGGAATTTTAAAAAATGGCAGCTTGTCTTGTCGGTTTGTAGTAAAATACACTTTCACACTGGTTTCAGTTATTAGAGAAAAGTCTCGGTAAAGGTTCACTTCTCTTTTAGTCACGGTTCTTCATAAGAAGTCTATAGAATACTGTAACCCAAGCCTAATGATCAAAATAACACAGATGAAGAGACGCAAAACAAAACAAAAAAGTAGAGGAAGGTCAGCAGCCTCTATGCAAGTGTGGCCTCAACCTCCTGTCTCTTGGCTTTTCACAGTTCCACTGACGTTGATTATCGCCAATTGATTTGCTTGGTTTTTGCTCGTTGAGTTTCATATTTCGCTGCGGTTCGGGGGTTCGAGCGCTTGGCGCTCTCACATGGACTCTCCGCTCAGCAGGTCTCCAGGAAGCAGCGTATTGATTGGGGTGGGGCTGCACACCACTCGGCCGTCTTCGGCGCTGGGCGGCCCCCACAGGCTGGAGTACTGCGGTACACCCCCCCACAGCAGCTCGTTGCTCACCTTCCCGCCGGACCCCATCCCGCCCGCTCCTCCTCCCAGACTGCTGCTGTTCCAGTGGCCGATGGGGTGTGTGGCCGGCGTCCCTCCGCCCCCCAGCCGTGTGTGATTGCTGCTGGGGTTGGCCTGCCAGCTGGTGGTGGGCGTGAGGGACTGACCCTGTGCAAAGAAGCGGTTCACCTCCTCTTCTCCAGCAAACTCTGCCAGTATAGTGGTGTTTCCCAGAACACACCTGGAAAGCAGGTATTCAGAGACAGAGAACGGATGACTGTGATGATATAGCTGAGGTTGGTTCTTTAAAAAGAAGACATCAGTGAAACATTTACGTACATGTGTAGGGACTTTTGGGCTTTGGCAGCCTCCTCTTTAGAACTGTAGCGCACAACGGCGTTGCCCTGCGTCAGGTTGAGATGGAATGTGATGAGCGGGCCGTGTTGCATGCACAGTGTCCGCAGTGTAGAACCATCAATCTAAATGTCAAAGAAAACAAAGAGGGTCGCATAACACTGCACATGATTAACCAAGAAATCAAGTCAATGAACATAACAGTAGCACAAGGATACCTGTGGTGTGAGGTTTCTCAGAACCAACCAGCTAGTGCTCCTGCTGGAGCTGTCTGTACTCCATGTGGTACCTACTTGGAGAGAGAAATAATTCTTTAATGCTTTGATAAACTTTTATAACACAGTCCACTATAACAACCATTACAACATAGTCTAAGCATTAAAGTATCATGTACACTATTCTTCAAAAAAAATAAAAAAATAAATAATTAAATACTTTTGTTCAGCAAGACCGCATGAAATTGATTAAAAGTGACAGTAAAGACTTTTGTAATGTTGCAAAAGATTACAATTTAGTATAAGCATTAAGGTACACTTAGAAAAAAATAAGAAATTAATAGTTTTATTGGTAACATTTTATTTTAAGGTGTCCTTGTTACACGTTACATGTACTTACTATTATAATAACAATAAATAACAACAATGAATTATGCATAATTACATGCACTTGCCTAAGCCAAACCCCAATCCTAACCCTAATGGTTGCTGAAAATTCTACTTTGCCATCACAGGATATTGAAATAAAAAAGTTATTTTAAACAGTAATAACATTTCACAATACTACTGTCTTTACTGTATTTTTGATTTAAAAAAAAAGCAGTCTTAATGAGCATAAGAGACTCAAAAACATTTCTTATGTGGAAGGTCACCTCTTTAAACATTTTTTAAATTAAAATTTTATCTCTATTTATTTAGACAAAATAGCATTGCGTTCAATATCAACCTAAACCTGAACAGCTTATCAGTATTGACCAGAATTTTACTTCTGGTTCATCCGTTTTTAGATGAACGATGTTCATCCTTCACTATGACTGTATTAAAAAAAAAAACGTAAACTTTTATATATTTCAACATCACATTTTTATCCAAATAAAAAAACATCTGGTAAACAACTGCGCTACAGTTAAATGTTATGAAAGTGTTATCAAGCAACAGCGTGGGAATGTTGATTAACACGCAACATATGCGAGACCACAAAACAGCACGTTCGCTACGCCACCAGAGCCCATGCTCGCGAATGCTCCAACCGTTCCAATCCTCACCTCACCTCCACATTTTGACTAGCGTTTACACCCACATAAAAGAGTCAACTGACAATTCAACTGCCGTTTCGAAACACCCACACCTTTGCCTGAGAACAGCAGCACAAACACATATCCGCCTGGGATTAAACTGCACCATTTACATGCAAACACACACACACACACACACACACACACACACACACCTGAAGAGTAGGAGCTGCTCCAGCCAGCCACCAGGCCCAGGGTGTTTCCGCCCCACGTGGACGAGGGCTTGGTGTTGGTCAGGCCCGGAGGCGGCCGTGCGGGAGCCGTCGAGTTTCGGGGTCCTTGTGGGACTTTCCAAAGCTCGTGAGAGAGAGAAGCCTGGGTGTGCGAGATGGGCCCCGGAGACCAAGTGGACTTCATGTCAGATAGCTTTCCTGTAGATCAGGGAGGTAAATGTGTGAAAGGGCAGAGGAGGAAACTAAAAGAGTATGCCAACTTACATCTTATCTCCTGTTTCTAATTCTGTGCACCCCAGAATTAGACAAACAAGTGGTGAAAGGTGTTCTCACAGCAGTCACAGTCACTGAGGTGCCACCGCAAACAGGAAAGAGAGGGCCCAGGGCCATGTGTTACACTGAAAAAGTTTATGTCTCTGAAATAAAAGAGTGCCTTCTCACCACTTCCACCTCACGAAAATCACAGATAGCCGGTGACCATGCCGCACAAAGGGACAGTGTGTGACTAACACCACTGAGGGGATGTACAGATGAATTTGGCCCGGTTTACACCTGGTATTAACATGCGTTTTCGTCGATCCGATCACAAGTGGACAGCGCTAATTACAGGTGTAAACGGTGTGTAAAATGTTTTGAGCTTGTCCACTTTCGACCACATCCAGAGGTGGTCGAAAACGCATTCGATCGGATTGCTGTTGTAGTGTAGATGCGCATGTGGCCGAATGACTTCGAGCACCTGCTAAAGACAGCCTTCTCTCCGCCTACTGACCAAACACGTAATCATTGTGGGACGTGTTGCTGGGAAGCACGCTTGTCAAACGGGATTTAAACGTCCGGTTGAACTATAAAGTTTATTTCGAAGCACTAGAGAAACACAATGGATCCTCGTGGTTGGACATCCAGTGAGACCAGGTGCCTCATCTCAGTCTGGGCTGAAGATGAGGTACAAAGAAAACTTGGCGACTCGTATCGTAACCATGCAGTTTTTGAGATGATTGCAAAAAAATGATCAGAAAGCAGTTTACAACCGATCATGGCAGCAGTGTCAGCGAAAAATAAAATACTTAAAGCTTGCTTACAGGAGGGCAAAAGACAGCAACAGCCGATCGGGTATGGAAAGGTTAACCTGTCCGTTTTTTGACGAACTGGACTTAGTTTTGAAGGACAAGTCGTCATTTTGCCCTGCTGATGGCTTTGTTTTGGATTCTGCTGATGCCGGTCTGTTTACTGGCACAGCATCAATGCCAGCTGACACCACTGATTCTGATCTTGCAGGTGATGTGGCGGCAGAAGAAACCGAAGGTATGTATAAAAATTGTATTTGTTTCTAGAAAGAACAAGAGTGTACTAGCTTGCATGTTGCAATTACAACTGTAATTATCAGTATTAAACGCAGCATTTGAGTAGGTAAAGAGTACATAACTCATACCAATATTCTGTTCTAAATGTTATCCGTTTGTGTAGATAGATACCACACCTGAACGGGCCGATGGCGCTACACCCTCTGCAATTTGCAGTAAGAGGAGGAGAATGGCACATGAGAGCGGTATGAGAAGAAAGAAAAACAAATTTGAAACCACGCTGGAAATGTTTGCCAAGGCAATTAATGACTCAAAGGACGACGAGATGTTGATCAGGATGCAGGAGAGACAGCATGCCCAAGAGGAAAAAATTTGGGATGACGATGCAGTCCATCACATCACTGATCTCAGCACCTTATCCCTGTTACCCATCTTACCCTAGCACATCATTTCACCATCCAGCATTTACAAGTCAACTGGCTCACACCACTTCAGACATGCCAAGCTGCAGCACACCTGTTTTAGGATCTCCTCAACCGGACGACAGATAAAACCCAAGAAAAAAAAAAAGCACTACTCTATAAGACACTACATATCTTTGTTTTTGGTAAATGTGTGCAGTGAGAAATATAGGCAGATTTTTATTTCTCTATTTCTAAAATTTTAACTTTTTTTTTTTTTATCTATAAATATTTGTGATTTGTTTGCTTACATTGTGCACTGATACAGATATGTTGTACAGTTGATACAGTATTTTTATCAACATATTTATCTAAATTCTTAACATGTCTTTATTCTATACTTTTAAAAAATATATAAATAAACTTTATCTTTGGGATCTGTGTGCTGTTGGTGGTTTACTTCTCAGTGTTGTTTACCTGTTGTTGCCCAATATCTTAAGAAAAGGTGATTGACAACAATACATATTTTAATCGACCACCATTAACCTATTTTAAGTTATTTTACTTAGAACTGTAGTTGTCAATGAAAATGAGCACATACACTTATTACTTGTCAATGAACCACCATAAAAAACAAAATGAACAAAAAGTTTGGGGGTTTTTGAAAAGACCAATTGTTTTGTAATCCTTTGTGAATGTGCTGAAGGGACAGGTCATTTTTTGGGTGAAAGTGGATAATCATGACAATTTCTATAGACCAGGGGTGGCGAACTCCAGTCCTGTAGATCTCCAACCCTAATTAAACCGCACCTGCCTGTAGCTTTCTAGTAACCCTTCAGAACTTGATTAGCTTGTTCAGGTGTGTTTGATTAGGGTTGGCGCAAAACTCTGCAGGGATGCGGCTCTCCAGGACTGACGTTAGCCACCCCCGATATAGACCCTTCCATGGAGTAATCTACACATTAAAAGCACTGCATAGCCAGAACATGCTCATACCTCTCATATGGATATGCCAATATAGATAAGAAATTGACAAACAAGATATGCCAAACAAGTACATTAGACATAAATAAGTGGGGTCTTGACAAATCAAATAAAACAGACCCTTTTATGCAACTTTATTGTCATGGATAACATAAAACAGTAACAAGAAAAAAAAACTCAGTAAAGTAAAATAAAATTTCTTATTTAACTGTAGTGTTCAACGAACTCAGTAGTTACAACTCTGTCTGGAGAAATAACGTGAAAGTGCCTGTCTAACATGCAATGGCTGTTCTGCTCTCTCATGTGGCATTGGAAAGTCAGGTGCATTCAGTTCAACAGTCTCCTCCACATCCTGCATCCAAAAAATTGTCAGTGTGCAATGCACACAAGTTGTGAAGGACACAGCAGCTGCTCATAATGGTCAGAACCCGTGATATACATATTTCCATTCTCTTCAGCAAACATCTCCACCTCCCCCTTCAGCTGCCCAAATGCACATTTCACAGTCAAGCATGCACGGCTCAAACGGTAGCTGAAGCGCCTGTGTTCTCTAGACAGATTACCAGTGTCTGGAAATCCCTTCATCAACCAGCTCAAGAGTGGGTATGCTGGGTCTCCAAGAAGCATAATGGGGACATTTACACCCTCAATTTCCTGTGTGTCCTATAACAAACAAACAAACCAAAAAAGCTAACACATAAGTTACAATACTCAGAGAGCCTGAAATACTGCATAAGCTATGTAGCATGTGCAGAATTAAAATAATACAGTCTTACTGCTGCAAACAGGTTGCCATTCTCTGCAAGGTGAAACAGGGTGGAGTTCCGTAGCACTCGGGCATCATGCACACTGCCAGGCCATCCCACATCGATATTGGTAAACCTGTTCATTAGGTGACAGACAACTATTTTAACGTGCTTACATATAAACAGCTGTATAACACAACAGCTAAAACAAAGCCGATTAATTACTGTATGCATACAGAGTTGCACTCACAGTGAATTGTGATCGATGACAGCCTGTAATATGATGGAATAGCTCCCTTTTCAGTTGAAATAGTCCTTAGCATCTTCAAAAGGAGGGGTGATGGGTATACGAGATCCATCAATTGCTCCTGCACACTGAGGAAAAACCCATCTGTCCTTAAAGCCTTCAACGATTGCCTGAAGCTTCTCTCCTTTAGGCAAATTAATAAACTGGCGGTGCACAGTGGCTTTGTTTGGCATTATATGCGTGTCGTCGCATACGAAAATGTTCAAGTCACTGGTCATCAGTAAACGTACTGAGCACAATATTCTTCCACCAGTCCTGACTTCTGGCGTGAGTCCACATCGTTCGGCGAGGTCTTGCGGCTAACACTGCAGAAACAAAAGTGGCTGCTCTCCTCGCTTTTTCCATTGTCTCATTTTGCGAGTACACAAGAGTTGTGTGAGCTCATTTCATCTGCTGGATCAAAATAACCGAAAAAGCCCATACATAAACATGCACAGCACGTTGTGGAGCATCTTCGTTTGATAACTACACAAACAGCTGGACTCTGATGTAATATTAGTGCGCATCCATATGTAACCGTGCGTTTAATTTTCCATTAAAATTTTAACAATTAATTTTAATTTTGATGTTTTTATTATTTGAAAACGTTTTTGAATGCTGCAAAACCACAGTTTTGGAAACCCTGAACCAATCAAAGGCATGTATTAAAAATAAATATATAAAATAGCAGAAAAACAAAATATTGGATTATTTAAAAAAAATTTTTTTAAAGAATATATTATTTTGTCAAACAGTGGATTACGTCCATATTTAATGTGGTGCACCTCTACACCTCATTTTGAAAAATATTTATTTTTTTGCAGATGCTACTTGGTTTGATGTTGTTTTAATCTAGTACAATGACATTCAGTTGGTTTATAAGTGTAAAAATGTCCAAACAATATTAAATCCGCTTAAAGCTTTCATAAGCCTACTAGTCCAAAGAGATTTTAGAGTTGCCAGTTAGTCACCTGGAGGCCAGGTGACATTGGTCCCATTGGAGATCTTGTCATTGGTGTTCTTCCCCTGACCCCAGCTATCATGAGGTGCCAGGGGGCTGGCAGGAGACTCGGAGCTGGGAATCAGATTGTAGGGACTGTAGGAGTCATCCAGCGGGGGCTTACTTGGGGGACCCAGACTAGGGCCTGTAGAGATGGCACCTGTATAATATTGGTGATATGGAAAATCATCAGTATCAGGCCTGATATTAACTACTATGCCACATGTTCACTGATGACTATAAAAGTGAGGTGTACCATGCTTGCTGAAGTTGGCCTCCATTGGAGAGGAGTTGCCAGAGAGGTTCTCCATGGAGTTTGGGTGTGTCCACTGTGACAGGCGTGACTGAGGCTGAGGAGAGTCCTTAATGGACAGGCCACCCACCTCCATGCAGTTTACATTCATGTTAGGGTTCAATCCAGCTACAGAGAAGCACATATGCAAGAATCAGTGGGGTTGAGAAAATAACTTGACTTTTTGAATTATTTGTTAGTGAATGAGGGTTTTTAAAAATCATTATGATTCAGACCTATTTTCCAATAAATCATTTGGTTTGATTTGTGAACTGGTTTGACAGACTTATTGGGGAAAGAAAGAAAAGAAGATTTGCTCACAAACCAATTCATCTATATCAGTATCTAGCTGATGATACATTTTAGAGCCAACTTGAAAAAATATATTCACTATAGGTATGTGTATGACATTTTTCAAGACTTTAAAAATTATGTGGCAATTCCAGGATTACTAGGACTGTGGGAACAATGTATAGAAGAATATTTGGATCTTCACTAGTCAGAACGAATGCAATAACAGACAGTGCTGATAACTCACAAATAGTGTAGGGTGAGAAGGAGTTTGGAGAAGACTGCGGCTCTTTGGTCTGAAGGTCGGAAACAGAGAGGCTGGAGGCCTGGGGATGGGCTGGAAATGTGTCCAGAGTTGATTTGCCTGCGCTGGGATGCAGGCCCGGGTGTGAGGCGGGTGGCTGCTGCTGTTGTTGTTTCATCAGCAGAGCCTGAGCCAGCTGCCGCTGGTGCTGCTGGATCTGTTGCTGCATGTTATTGATTGTACGTGCAACCTGTAAGAAGACATGCTTGTGAACACAGCACACTTTATAGAAGTGTGATATTAGAACTTAAAAGCAAACACACAAACAAATCAGTATTGAGAATTGTGAGATTTGAATGGCATCATGGTGACCCTAAGCTGTGGGAAGGAACTGCTCACTTGCTGCTCTTGCTGTCGGATGGGGCCAGAAACACTGCGCTGTGCCTGCAACATCTGCTGCTGAATCTGTAAACGCTGGTACGCCTGCAAGATCAAAGTGACAAGTTTTCATTACAAAGAAAAATTAGGAGTGAAATTTAAGCTTTCTGACAAATAAAAAACTTATTTAATTACAGCTCAATAAGATGTCGAAAGACTGGCACTTACCAGTTGCAGCTGATAAAGTTGGTTCAACAGGGTCATATGCTGAGGGTTTATTGGTGAGGTTAAAAGTGCAGGGTTGAGACCAATGTTTTTTGCTGCAAACTGTAAAAGCTGTGCTTGAACCTGTCAGTAAACAAAATGGTCGGATTCATCACTCCCACATATACTCAAGTGGTGAAAAACTGTGTCACCAAATGAAGTCAGTGTCACAATAAGGTGCTAAACCACATGCGTCTGCTTGCACACCTGAGGGCTGAAAAACTGAGGCACTTGAGCGCGTAGACTAGGCTGGGACGAGTTGAGAGGTGGCACTGACGGCTGGGGAGGAGGCTGCTGCTGCAGGGCCCGGGCTTGTGCTGCTCCACTACCAAACACTCCACTCTGCATCTACACAAACACACACAAAATAACTAATTCAGAATTGAACTTTGAGGATATGATCAAATCTGTCATCCCCTCATACTGCCAGTTTAACAGTCAAGATATCAGTATCTTAACAGCCAGGTGGTCGATGATTAACACAATGTTGAAATACAAAATACACCTAGATCTTCATCAGGGATGTGCGCGACGACTAATTTGATTGACGTTTAAACTAAAGTTTTGTCTCCGACTAGGCGACTAGTCTAAAAGCAAGAAACCCCCTAAAGATGGTAAGAAAAAAAAACCTCTGTGCGTGCGTGTAGCATATATAATAGCCTATATTTGAAATACTTAATCTATGAATCACACTGTCAAATCCCTCAATGAATTCCGCTTGCTGCACACTTGCCTCGCATTATCACCATTTCATTTTAGGTAGTCGTTAAAAAGAAAGAAAAAAGAAGAGTATACACTCAACGTCGGCCAAAGCATAGCTTATTTATTCAAATCAGCTGGGGAAATGCAGAACAGTGAAAAATCAATCAATAGCCTGACAGAATTCTTCATCTTCATATAACGTTAGCTAACATATTAAAACAAGTCAAAATAAATAGGAAGGTTTATTAAGAAATAGCATTAAAACGGCTTTTAAAAATTTACTTTGTGTAGGCTATATCATCTAAAAACAAAATGCAACAATGCACATTTTACTTACTCAGACCATGCGTTATTTGTTCAGTGAAATTATCAACGTGGTCTGGTGAAAGACGGGACCTGAGGAGATTAACAATAAAATTCCTGCACTTGAAAAAACGCGCTCGGCAGGAACTGAAGTCGCAGGCATGCAGAGATAACAAAAAGCAAGCCGATAGAGTTTCAGAAAGCGCCAGGACATCCCGCACCACCACCGAAGTGGGTCTTCATTAGAGGAATAGATGGCGCGGATGGGATTGACATTAGCTGGCTTTGGCCAGCCTCTAAGCCAGTGGTTCTCAACCCGCGGCCCGTCACAAATTCAAATGCGGCACACCATGTTGAACACAATTTAAAAAATTACTTTGTTTTACAATTCATTTTAGTTTTTACATTAATTTAAAATGTACTAAATAAATATAAGCTATACAGTTCAAGCATATAACAATGTTTTAACGTTAAACCTAGATAAATGTGCGCTGTATCCAATAGTTTGCGCGGACAGTGGAAGCTGAAGCACGCTTTGCAGGACATGGAGGCGCCAGCGCGATCACTTGCATTTTTTTTCAGTGGATACGCCGTCATTTTTGCTCATAAAGGTAAGAGTAATACATCATTCGGAACTGTAAAGGGTCTACTTTTATTTGTGTGCACTCACAATATCAACAAAACCTTGTGCTTTTATAAAATAAAGAAATCAAACATGATGCGCTTTCTGCCGTCTCTTCTTCAACAGGAGCGCTTCACAAAAATGAACCGAAACTCAGCGAATACATGCCTCACAGACATGATAAATATATCTATAGAAAGCTTTAAATTACTACTTAACGAAATAAAACAAATCAAAAACTATTTCATTGTGATCATAATCCGTAAAGATGCACTTCTCTCTAAAGGTGCGTCTAATGAAGAGATGGCGAGTCAGGATCGACAACTTCATCCTTGCGACACCGACTCAGAAAACACTAGTTTATTAGTAAATAATTCAAATATCTCCTTACTGTTCCCCCCTGACGCATTTATGGTAATTACTTTTGTCGGTGCTTTGCGGCAAACTTAAGCCTATTGCATGCATTTGAACGCAGAACTCTTCAGCTGCGCTGACGGCACGCACCTGCTGCTGCTGCGGGACACTAAACACCGTCGAGCCGCTCTTGATAGTCACGGTAGCACGGTCTCGTGTTGTTTCCACCAGCGCGCCAATATTTTTTTCATCACTAATTGATGGATGTCTAAAATATAAAAATAAGGAGATGCCTAAAACAGGCCCGAGGCCCTGCCCGCGTCTGAACTATGACGTGAAAATTGTCCCGAAGCCCAGCCCGAGGGGCGTAAAAAAGGGCTGAAATGCAGGGCTCTAGCTCTGATCTAGCACACAGAAAACGATTTGACTGAAAATGTATCAGAAGAGATGAAAGAAAGATAGTGGTCATCTATGCAATTCGGAAAAATTGGTGGCTTTTCTGCATTAGGTATGTTTTTTTATTTTATTTTTTTTACTCTTTGTACAGCAGTTATTGTTCATTCAAAATTATTTTTTTTAATGTAGAATATGTGTTACATAAATACATGAAATGTAGAACATATAAAAAAATGTGCTCGTGGCTCGTCTGCCAGTGGGTGCCCCCCCCACGCATAAAAGTGAAACTTCGCCTATGATTTTGCTGTTACTCCTTTCAAGCTGAATTTCACAAAATTGGGTTTTATGGGGAGTAGAATTATTTATTTATTTCAATGAATGTAATCGATTAGATTCATATTTAGGCTATAATATTATAAATCAGGTTGGTTTGTATTGCTGACGTAATATGTAAATGTATGTGTGTGGCCCGCGAGACTTGCACTTGGACCATAGTGCGGCCCGGTGGAAAAAAAGGTTGAGAACCACTGCTCTAAGCTAACGCCTACGTGCCTGTATTGAATATGATTACTCATCGCTCCAGTAGAGTTATTGTAAGACAATTTGACATTACACAGTTTACACAAAACTTTTCCGTTTCCTTCTAATTCAAAATAATCCCACACCTTGCTCGTCTTTCGCATGGTCATTTTTGAACTCGCCGCAACTGACACGAAGAAAACGCATGTGAGGTCTGAGGTAAAAATGTTGTTTCCGCCCAGATAAACTTTTTAAAATAATGCATTATTTTTCAAGCATTTTATTTGAACTTATTTAAAATGTTTTCAATGCAATGTTAAAATGACGGTAATTTGAATGATAAAATCAAGTTTTTTTCTTTTCTGTCGTGTAATCGACTATTGTTTTCAGTGTCGACTAGTAGGAGCTGTACCGTTTAGTCGACTAGTCCCGCACATCCCTAATCTTCAGAGACCCACCTGTCTGTTGTTCAAGTTTTGCATCGCAACTCCAAGGCTCTGGCCAGGGAGTGCAGCACTACCCAATGGGAGCTTCAGGCTCGGAGAAGGCATAAACGGTGAGGTTTGGGCATCATCTGCTAGCCCAGCATCCTAAAGAGCAGATAACAAAATAAGTGAATAAATAAACGAGACAAACAAAATCCAGCACAATGTGAAGACTTCTAGATGCAATAACTGAAATGTACTGACTTGTAATTGTAAGAAGCACATACCTTGTCCAAGAAGGGGGGACGATCTGAGGAGGATTCTTTGGAGATGACTGAAGGCCTGCAGCCCATTGGTTTATTGACAAGGCCGTTGTTGTAGTCAGAGATTCCCATCCCCCGTTTATCTAGTTCGGTCTTCTTCTCCAACAGGGCACCTACCAGACAAATAATATTTGAATATAATATTCTAGCATAGAAGCTCTGAAGGAACTGAAGATTTTGCAGGTATAACACCTACTCATGGCCTGATCCAAGTTCATGTTGTTGCTCTTGAGAGCCTCTTCTGCAGGGTCTCTCTGCAGAGGCAAACAAAAACACAGTAAACACCATTGGTATTAATCCTTATTACAAAGACTGATTTTAATAATCCAATTAATTTGAGCAATTGGATAATCTATAATATACAATTAGGCAGTCAGTATCATAAAACTAATCCCAGGGACAACCGTCAAATATACAGAGGGAGAAATGCTCTTTTATGAAAGATAAGCAGTACTCACAGGGAAGCCCATGTCAGTCAGCTGCTTGATGAGATGATTCATTATCCAAGTATCATCCTGTTTGTTTGGGACTTTTCCCTTTAAAGAAAAACACACACAGATGAACTGAAGCATGACACCTACAATAAACTTAAGTAGTTTTTATTTTGTTTTTGTTTTTTACCTTTGGTGGGCCCTTTTTGGGTGGGTTGCCCCAGGAGCTGCAGGAGGAGTTGCTCTCTTGAGATGCAGTGCTGTTCCACATGTCACCCTCATCCTGCTCCCACTGCCCTGCAGACAGGCCCATGTCCTCTCCACCACCCCAGCCATCTTGCATAGATTTGGGGGCTGTAGGAACAAAAACACACATTATTGAAAGTGTCCATAGTAGAAGCACATATAAACATTTGCGATTGGTTATGTTTACAAACAACAGAAATAACTAATTTGTCCTTACTGAGATACCAATACATGTATAATCCTGTAGTGCATTATTTACAACAACAGGGGGCCCTGTTGTTACACATTTCAAAGCTCTGATATACCACCAGACCATCTATTTCCAACACAATTCTACTGCAACCGAATAACTGCATGTGATTTTTTTTTTTAAATCACAAAATCATGCAACTAAAAATATTTTTACTTTAATAAATAAATCTACATTCATAAAACTAACCAGGTTTGCAGGGGGCAGATCCAGGAGGTCCGTTGCCTCGACCATAGACCTCAGGGCCATTATCACCCCAGCCACCTGGGGGTTTACCCCATGCTGAAGTGCCATTGTCCACACTTGCTGCAGGGGCGGCTGCCTCTACCCATGAGGGCTCAGGTTTTGAATGGACCTTTGTCATCTCGCCCCATCCTGCAAAGAAATACAGCAAAACTCAGGACAAGTGCGCCTTTAGTTTTCACTGTATCATAAGCCATATACTAAATGCCCTTGAGGCTGGCAACATGTAGTGTATACAGTCTGGTCTAAATGTTTATTTCCTATTTTGCATTTTTCCCATCCACAAATAATTTTATTAGCATAACAATTGGAGTACGAAGTTGAATTAAAAAATTAAGATGAATCTCACAATTTATTCATTTTGAGACTTTTATTTAATTGAAAACAATTTGCAAAAACAAAAGTCACTTTGTAGCAGTAATGTTAAATGTCTGTTTAGTTGTTGGCACAAGGGAGATCTGAGGATGCCATGTTAAATACAGCTTTGGCAGAGGTAGTGCAAAGCTACACACAAACAGCAGAGGGCATCGGGTTTGTTCCAAGTATCCTGCTGAGGCCTAGTGATACTCCCCACAGATGGCGACCCAACTCTAATTACACACTTCCTCCTGGCTCAAACACTATGTTAAACTACACTCGCAGACAAATTGTAAATACTTTTCTAACATTTCTATTTGTTCTGTTAGCGTGTTCTCTTAGCATGATTTGTCAGTTTTTTTTCTTCACTTGTATGCCAAAATTATCAAACAAAAGTAGAGTGATACATTTTAACCAGGTAAAGGTCATTGACAGTGTATGTTAAAGTAAAAAGTCTTGTTTCTTACCTGGATTCATAGGGGTTGTTCTATTGTGAGGTGGCCCTGTTTGATGTGGGCCAGCGTTATCAGGGGAAATGTGATTATTGTTTGAATTTGGCCCTCCATGGCTGTGGGTCTGCATGGGAGGCTGGTTATGGTGGGGATGATGGTGATGGTGATGGTTGCTGGGTACATTGTTGGCATCGCCAGGTCCTGGTTTGCCTTGCATCCCAGGGTTATTCTTGTCCCAGAGATTGACTGTCTTGTTGCAACTGCTTGGGTCACCCCAAGCTGAGGTACCATCATCGATCTCCATCTTACGTCGGATGGAGTGTGGAGAGGGCTCCTCCCATCCAGTGGGCTCTCCAGTGTGGTCAGGTTTAACACCTCCACCATTTCCTCCTCCCCATCCAGAGCCACTCCGCTTTACAGAGTTAGGACCTCCCCAAGAACCCATGCTTCCACTGCCACTATTGCCATTGGTGCCCTCCTGGGGCTTGTTATTCCATCCTTGTGATGGCACACTGGAGTTTTGTGCATCTCCCCAGTTTCCTCCTACTCCCGGAGCAGGCTTTCCCCATCTTCTGGAGCTCTCGTTCCAGCCGGTACCCTCTCCCTCCCAAGTAGAGCTGGAGGGACCATTTTTCTTTCCATTTCCTGGTTCACCCCATTCTCCTCCAGACCCGCTTTCTCCACCAGGTCCATTGCCCCATCCGTGAGAAGTTTTGGGCACCTCAGTCCAGCCCTGTGGTTTGGCTTTAGCGTGACTGTCTTCCCATGTAGGAGACTTCTCCTCTGATCCCCAAGTCTGACCACTTTTCTGCAGATTGCCACCTGGACCTCCAGCTGGGGTACTGCCCCAACTTCCTGGACCACTGGAAGGTTTCTTGTTGCTGGTAGGATCTGCCCAACCAGAGCTAGCTTGGGGTGATGGCATGGTTGTGCCCCATCCAGGTGCAGCTCCAGTACTGGGGCAGGGGCCCTCATTCTTGCCCCCAGAGTCAGGTCTGGATGTAGTGCCAGAGTTTGGGTTGGCACTGCTAGAAGTTGGTGTTGGTCCTACATTGGCTGCATTTGAGGACGAGCCCCATGATTCAGTTCCAACGTCATTCTTACAGTTGGCGCGTGCAGCTTCTTCGGTCTCCCAAGAGGTGTGTTGACGCACTGGTGTTTGTCCCCAGCCTGTGTTACATAGAACCCGAGGGTCCATATCCTGGGTAGGCAGAATAGGGGAAGCCTCATCTCTTGATGAGCAGACCCTCCTGCGAGGATGACATTCCATGCTGTCACTGCTTCCCTCACTGGCTGGGGCATTGGCCCCACGGACCCAAGAGTTGAGCTGCTGCTCTTGGGTGGGAGAGCCTGAGGAATCCCATCCTTTGGCCTCACTGTTGGAATGCTTACCCCAGTCTCCAGTTGAGGCAGCTTGTCCCCATCCAGAAGTGCCTGAGGCCCCTCCTTGTCCCCAGCTGCTCCCTGAGTCCCAACCAGAGTCTTTTGAGCCACCACCAGACTTGGCATCTCCATTACCCCAAACAGGTTCTTCATCCCCGTTGACCTGTGAGGCTCCTCCTGGATTTTGAACAAACGAGCCCATGCCTGCAGGTCCAACCCCCCAGTTAGGCAGGCTGTGGCCAGGGCTTCTGGGCTCTTGCTTAGTGTGATTTGGTCCATCAGTGTTAAGGTTCTGAGGTTCGGAGCTGAAAGACACATTCGTGGATGGGGTGGAGTGTGGCTCTGAGGAGTCACTGGGCACAATACTACCCCATGAGGTGCTGCCATTGCCACTGCCACCATTACCTGCAGAATTTCCATTGGCACCACCTATACTGCCACTGCTGCTAGGGCCCTGACTGGGCAGAGTGCCAGGTGGGCTACAGAGATTAGGAGGAGGAGGGTTGCTTCCTCCAGAGCTGCCGCCACCCATGCCGGTCCCTTCATGTCCCAGAACTGGCCAGGCAGAGGGGTTAGCGTTGGGGTTTAAGTTCAAGTTAAAGTTAGAGGAGCCCCAACACCTGGCTCCCACTGATGTGCTGGAGACTTCATTTTTCCCTTCTCCTCCACTGGCAGGAGACGGGCCAGAGCCCCAGCCTCTGCCGGCCCCACCCTGACTAGAGAGTAGACCTCCTGAGTGGCTGGCATTGGCTTTGCTGGGGTGATTGGCGGAGAAATGGCCTTGCTGGCCAGCTCCTGTGGCCATACTCATGCTGCTGATGTCACTGATACTTTCAGTGTCCAAGGGGCATCCTGCAGGGGCGTGGCTTTCTTTGCATGAAATGGAAGGCCACGCCTCCGTATCGCGCTTGTCAATAATCAGTGGATCCCAGCCGCTGCAGCTGTTGGTAGAGGCTGTAGTGGCACTGCGATTGGGGGATATATTCTCATACTGGGCTGCCAGGCCACTCTGTGGGGGCAGCTCTACAGAAAGAAAGAAAAAGAAAGAAAGAGAAACTATTGAAATAATGTGCATATGACCTATATTAATTTCATTCACTCATATGACCACTCAACACAATTTAGCTTTTATACATGTAATGATAAAATACATTATATGTATAAATGCAATTAGCAATATTGCAAATTTTTTTTTATTAGATTACAAAAAGTTTGATTTTAAGAAAATAATTAAATCTATACAAATACAGACAAATGCAAAGTTCTCAGAAGATTTACATTTCACTTGAAAAATTTATCTGAAACATTCATCTAAATGACCATTTACTGAAAGATCTGGCTAGATCGATCAAAACATTTTTTCTTGGCTTGCTTTAAGAAAAATTATGCTTTACATCAGCACAGTAGCTATGTCATAACTTACATAAATAAAAATGTATAATATAATAAAAATGCAGCATTAACAGCATGTGTTGGTTCACATGTATATGCTAGCCCGGAGTCATTATTTTTCACTGCTGTCATCGCCTTGCTTCTCCCAACCACAACCACCTCCCTCTGCTGGACTGACAGATTACAACCACAGACTTTGCTTTCAAAGAAATATGTTCATTCTAAATATGACACATTGATAACAACATTGAAAGCAGCGCAAATGCCCACATATGGATACCAGGATCCTGGTGTGTTAATTAGTTGGCAATGCTGCCCAGCCTCTTGGCACTTGCTCAACTCTGTTGTTGTTGTTGTTTTTATGTGGATTTACATGAGCAGGCACGGCTCAGTCTGTATCAGATCTGCGCAAAGTGGCAGCGCCTGTGCACACCAGGCTTTCTGTCACCAACCACGGAAAAAAGCACTTTTAACTAAAGACAAGAAAAAGGAGTCTATGAAAGAGAGTATAGTGTGTTTCCAACACAAAAGCTATCCTTCTGTAGAGTCACTGCGTAGTAAAGGACGCCATTTTATCAAATCTGAACTAAAGCCAAAAAAGCTTAGAGCTGCCATCAACATCTTACAGTGTCTCGCTGAAGAAAGCTTATCAGATGGCGCAGCAAACCTCTGCCCTGCATTAATCTCTAACATGCAACGCAATAGCTTTAGGGATTTGCATTTTATTTTGCAGTTATATGAATGCTACACTTCCAGATCAAACAGCAGCAGTACAGCAGAGAGCAAAGCAAGGGAAAAGCATGTTATCAGCGCGTGGAGGATCATACTATGAGGTTGGAGGGGGTGGGGTCGCAGAGAAGTGGAAAAGTACCTGAAGAGAGATGTCGCCCAACCATCCTGAGAGAAGCGCTAGGCTGCGTGCAGAGCGCTGGCCATCCCTGTTACAATATGTCTGCTGCTCGCGAGGCTTCTGAGGCTCATATTTGAAATGCTGCCAAGGAGCTGCAGCTCAGTACACGAGCGACCACCCCGTTCGTCCCACACGGTTTCGGCAAGATCCGATCTCTGTTCCCTCACCCGGGCTTTATTTATATCTACCTCTATTTCTGATTCGGAGAGGAGACTTTCTTGTGAGGGAGGGGAAACAGGGTTGCATGGGAGTTGAAGGTTAAAGCCAAGAGCATTCCGTGGTGCCATTAGGAGGGAGGAAAAACAAAACAAAAAAGAGGGATTCCTTTTCTTGTGTGCCCCTCTTCTCTTTCATGCTTTCAAACTGTCACAAAACATTTAGCCGAGACCATTCAGGCTGCAATTAGCACCGCCGCTCACAATAGAGCGAGCTGAATAAATGCACAAAAGCAAGCCAGCCTCAGAGCATAGGCTGCACTGCAAGGACTGTGCATACACAGAAACACACACACAGCTCCCTGTCATACTGGCTGATTTTAAGGATACAGTTTTTTTGTAATATTAAAAGTACAGTGGGTTTGTGAAGTTGAAGCTCTGCATACCAGAGGTGCGGTTCCAAGTTTAGAGGAAAACAACACTTCAATGGCTGAATGGGAAACAGGATAAACACACCAAATGAGGCTCACATGGAGGCGGGCAGGTGGCCAAGGGCTAAATATCTGCATAGAGTGTGCCCGTGCTTTAATGATGCAGAGGAGAAAGAAAGACGACCGGAAAGCATGCATGCTGGGAGGAAAGAAGGGATGGCTCCAGTACTGGAGGGATAGAAACACTGAAAAAGAGATGAACACTTACAAAAGCACACTAGCTCTTGGCATCAAGGAAGGCATTGTTTACAAATGATCCCAGCGCCTCCCATACACACAATACACAAAAGTCCAAAGAGAACAGACTCTTATTATACTCCAACTCAAAGGCAGCTTTTCCCAGTCAAATATGCAATGATGTAATCAAAGCCTCATTATTGATTATTCCCATGCTTGCAAATGACCCTTTTATGAAAACCTCAAACCAGTAAATTCTAAGTTTCACTACCTAAACAGTTATTGGTTGGTTTCGTTTGTGTCTTTCTGTAGTAACTCTTACTAACGCTGATGACACACAGGACAACTTTTTTTGAGGAATGTTTCTTGGAAACTTTCCCACTGAGAATGGGTAACAAATTTCTATCTGGATACTTTAGATCGGTTGTGGGCCCTGTGCCTCACCTGGTTGCCCGTTGACGGCAAAAAGTTGCCCCGTGTCTCATCAGCCTAAGAGTCAGAGTGCCAGAGTACTGTACACAAAGGAGTTTACCATCCCTTGTTGGAGACAAATTAGTCCAGACAAATGCTGGACCAATTTATGCCCAGTGACTACCTGCGTCACTGAACTTGCGACACAAACACAACAGTACCGCTAGATTTAAATCAGCACAGTCAGCGAAGGATCGAATGCAACGAGCGCACCTTTTTTAACAACCAAAAAGTGGCTGTTTCGTTGTCTGTTGAGGAAGTACAGACGTTCCTCTCGTTGATAGCAGAGGAGCGGATCCAGCGAGCTTGATGGGGCGACGCGGAATGAAAAAGTTTTTCAGGAGTCGCGCAGCAGTAGAGGCGGCGCAACTATAAGGACATGTGAATAATCCCGCCCACTCTAAAGCGGTACTGAACTGCAGTGGAAACGCAAACCGAGCCGAGCCGTGCATTGCCGTACCGTACCATACTGAGCCGTGCCGAGTCGTACCACGCAGTGGAAAAGCGCCATAAAACAGCAGAACGTGCTTGGAAACACTGAGGAACATCCTTTACAACCATTGTTATTTTTAAATCTTGTGAGAAATATACAATTAAAAGTTGGACTTAAAGTTAGTTGTGCTAATCTCAAATCATCAAGAGTGTATACGTGTAATAATTCGCCCAATAATAAAATTACCTAAAACTAATCTATTCATGTCTTATAAAAATGACATCTGCACTATTATTCAATTTTCGGTCTATATAAACATGTACTAAACATGTTTGAACTAGGGATGGGTCACTATTTTCGAATATTCGATTAGTTGATTTAATAATAGAATATCGAATATGTTGTGCGAGTATTGTCAAAAAAATTCCCCATGTTTTCTGTGCTGATGCAGTGGTGACGCATTAATGTAAGCTGAGGGTGGAGCTGCCAATAACACACCTAAAAGCTGTCAAAGACAACAGAAGAACACTGTCTCACGCGTACACTGACTGTAGAATTGTATGGCATATAACGGTAACTTGGGACGATGTCAAATAAGAGTTTGGTGCGGACCGCAAACACCCCCGATTGGGTTAGAGGTGTGCTGAATCTGCGGTGCGGCGTTTTTAACATGTAGCCCTGTCTTACAATAAAGGCTTTTTATATTTTGCCTGCTATGTGAGTGCCTGGATGTGGATTATTTTTGTTTCTTGCAATGGGATCCACTTTTTGTTTTTGACCTTTTGTTCCCTCTCTGGAGCACTCATAGTCTCGCTCGTGAGTACCTGATGCGCCCCTGGTCAAGAATTTTTTCTGTGCTGAATCTGTATTCGGGAAGGCACAGAAAACGAATAACGTGCTCTATGGAGCCACTTAGGGGACATGGTTAGCCGCTTGCTAGCGGGAGCCTGTTACAATACAGTACATAAAAGGTCACTTACCACATACACAGAGTAAGGAGAGATGACTGACAGGACGATCGGCGAATGATTTGCGGATCCTGAGCACCACTGACAAAAATCTAATCTTGTAAAACATGTGGCAAGTACTGCCGCTCCATAGTATAAACAGAGGATGTGTGATTGCGAATCTCGAAAGTGAAATAAAGCAAGTGCGCATTCAAAAGCGATTTCAATAGCCCGCATATTAATATAGGCTCCCTGATGCCCACAATTTATATTGATACAATACCAGCGATACTTGTGACGTTAAGGGGTCAAAGCAAACCTAGCATGCAAACAAAGCCACATACCCAACGATATACTTGCGAGACCCCTTTAATGTGTTTCAGCATGTTACAATCACTATATGGCTTGAGTTAAGATAGCCTATCCCCTAATGAATTCAATTGTTTGTTATCATGCAGATTGAAAGCGTGAATGGTCTATCTCCCTCTCTCTCTCTCTCTGTTAAAGGGGTCATATGATGCGATTTCAATTTTTCCTTTCTCTTTGCATTTTTTTAACTTTAAACCGCATAAACACATTTCATTACACAAAATAATGTTCTTTTTAGCAGCATCATATGACCCCTTTAAGGGTGTGTAGCCTATACCTGTGTGCATGCATGCGGGGTATGGATCAAATAATCAAATAATTCCCAGCTATCTTCGAATACTATTTTTGCTTGAAATGCACATCCCTAGTTTGAACCAGTGTTGTTTTAGTATTATTTATATATGCGTATCATTTTTATATAAAAAATAGCTTGTATTTTTATATTTTAAGCTTTTGTTTTTTTATTTAATAAACCTTTGAAACATTTTACAATTTAACTTTGTAAACTAAAGTTTTGGTTTTTATATTTTTCTTTAGAGAGTTTTATTTTTATTTCACTTAGTAATTTTAGTATTATTTCAGTTATTTAGAAGCTTTTAGTTAGTTGCCAAGGCAACATTTCTAATTATTTTGTTTACTTTATATAACATTTATTTTATCTTAGCTGAATTTCAATTA